GAAATAAAAATACATTTATGAAACAAAATTAAAATGTTTTTTTATGTTCATATATAAACATGAAATCCTAGTTAAAAATAAAAATACTCACTTAATGTTTAGGTTTACTTACAAATATTATTATCGGGTCTTGTATATTACTTGAAACATAAGGAGAGTAGGTGATTATTAAAAAAATTAAAAATAGGTAAAATTTGCATTTTATGGACAATAAAAATTTATTGGGATTTTAAAATAATGTTATAAAACAAAAAATAAGTTCAAATCTGGAACAAATATAAATATATACTTATATGTGTGTGTGTGTATATATATATTTACTATAATGCAAATTTAAAGCTTGAGGAACAATTGTTTTGCACATTTTTAGTTCAATGATCATTGCTGTCTATAATACAAGTTTAATTTCTTTAAACTACGTACGAACCATAATTAGTAGGCCTACTTATTTATGTGGTGTAATGTAAATCAATGCCAAATTTGGGAGCCCCTTTTGGGGAATCCCCATAAAAATGTGTTTTCAAAACACCTGTGTTCCCTGAGGAATTGGGTGAAAATTTTTACCTATGTGCAAACATTGGGGTTGAGACAATTCTTTTGCCACTACTTAGAAGTTGGTGGGTCAAGTAGTTTAGAAAAAAGGGTTTTTGGGGAAATCCTCAAGTGATGGGGGGGGCCTTTTTACCTTTGTGCAAACCTCAAGACTGAGACGATCCATTTGGTGTCACTCAGAAGTCGGTGCGATCAGCAGTTTAGGTGGAGTTATGTGACACATACAATCTCAGATTCCTGTTTTGTACTTTTTCAGTTTAACGATCATTGCTGCTATAATAAACGTTTAATTTCTTTAACCAAGTTATGAACAGTAATTAGCAGGCCTACTTATTTACATGCTCTATTGTAAATCAATGCCAAATTTGGGGTCTGCTTTCAGGGAATCCCTATAAAGGTGTTTTCATAAAATACCCTTGTTCCCTAAGAGATTGGGTGAAAAGTTTTACCTTTGTGCAAACCTCAGGATCGAGACGATTCATTTGGCTTCACTTGGAAGTTGACGAATCCAGCAGATTAAGAGGAGTTGTGTGACACAGAGACAGTGAATCTTATTATATTGATATTTGTTAATTATAGAGAAGTTAGGTCTAACTTTAAAAATCTTCCATGTATCATATTGAATGGTCCTGTTCTTTTTCATCTGGATCTGTGAGTTAAATTGTATTAGTGTAATCTTTGTATTGTAATTGTCAATGTCAGTATAAAGGTTAACATTCAAAAAACTGTTAGGTTTGTATGAATCAATGTTCTAACATGTATATAGTTGCTAATATATACATGTAAATATTTCTTTGAAAATAAATTACTTTGAATAATATCTAAACATAACAGTTGCAATGACATGTAATTTTATGATCTTTAAACATAAAATGTAGTTGGGTTCAAGGGAACATTGTCTCTTTGAAACCACCACCAAAGCTCTGCCAATTTTGGTCCTTAGGTAGGCCCCACTTTTATAAGGTTTATTAAGTCTGTCAAAAAGCTTTAGCATTGTGAAAGTACTTTAATTTGTTTCATATAAAACTTGAATAATAAATGTACAATAAACTTTTAAAGCTTACACAAATTTGAAGCAATATTTTGTATGGTAGGTTTAAAAAATATAAGCATATCAGATATAAAAACTACTAAGTGTATGATAATACATTAGTATGTTTACACTGAAGGAAAAGCTTAAAAATTAAACAATATTCCTGCTTTTGAAAATTATGATATATATAATAAAGATTTTGTTTGGCAGGTTTATGGAAGGGTACTACAGATGTGGCTATTAAGACCTTGAAAACTGGCACAATGGATCCAGCAGCATTTCTCCAGGAAGCGGCTATCATGAAAAAGTTCCGGCACGAGAAATTAGTATCTCTGTATGCTGTCTGCTCTAAAGAAGAGCCAATATATATTGTTACAGAATACATGTCCAATGGGAGTCTGTTGGAGTACCTAAGGAACAAAGAGGGAAAAGATCTAAAGTTGCCTGCTTTAATTGACATGGCATCTCAAGTAGGTGAAAAACTGGTGTCACAATGTTGAGAAATCTAGTTATTGTATGCGATCTTTTACACAGATAAATATAATGATTTCATTCCCTTAACAGAATAATACTGTGTAGACGTGTATAGAAAATGAATTGCTTATAGTAGAAAAGGCAAATGATTTTCTAATATATTTAAGTGTTGAGTTAAATTCACATTAGAACCTGCCCAAAGGAGTATTATCTAAAACTACTAAAACAGTGTCACGGATATTGGGCTAGAAGTGCAAGCATCAACAAATGAACACACGTTAATAAAACACAACCAAAAATTTAGGTATATAAAAAAACAAAGTCGAAGCTTCTTACTGATGTGTGTTGACTTTGAGACTAATATATTGTCCCCATTAAAAATATTTGAAATGTTTCTTTTGTAACATGCCACCTATATTCTTCTTCATACAAGTGACTTGTTATATTATTTCTTTCCATGCTGAAGTATTTTGAATTTTTTGAAAAAGTAGTGCACAATGCTTAATAAGCAAATACATTAAGTTTTTGTTTTGTTTTTAGCTGAGTAATGAATAGACAAGAAAGTACAATAAAATTGCAGCAAGGAAAATAATAATTATGATCTGCTTATAGCAATTTTAGTTTTTATATGTATTTCTATTACGTTTAGATAGTTCCATTTGTTTGTTATTAGTGAACAGACCTGACCACAGTTGCTTCTATTGAAACTATAGGAATTTAGTAAAATGCTTTTTTAATGCTAACTGAACTAATAGCAAATACTCATATTTGTCTTAAAAGATAGCCAGTGGAATGGCCTACCTTGAAAGCAAGCAGTTGATTCACAGAGACTTAGCAGCACGTAACATTTTGGTTGGAGATCAGAATGTGGTGAAAGTAGCAGATTTTGGACTAGCAAGAGTCATAGAGGATTCAGAGTACACTGCACGGCAAGGTTGGTTTATGTCTGAATTTAAATCTGATTTTTAAACTCTTC